AATTCGTCGAAATGAATGTCGGCGACTCCTTTTGTGGACGTCACTCCATTTGCAGTATAGAATGACATTGATTGGTCGCTTTCTCTCACTTCCAGACCTAATTTCTTGGCTCTGCCTTTCGATATCAAATCATACCCACATCCTGTGCCCATGATGAACTTCGTTCTTGATCCTTTGGCTGGAATAGACAATGTCTTGGTGTCTGCATGATCTTTCTTTCCCTCGCATACATGAGGAATGACTTTATGATGGAAAACTAGGCCGTCATCTTCGTCAAAAGACATAGTGACCGATAGGTCACCCTTTGGTCCAACTGGTATTCGGACCCTCTTGATCTCAGTGTAGGGGACCATCAATATGCCTCTCGCCTCTGCGACCTTTTCTTCAAATCTGATTTGTTCTTTCCTCGTGTAGCAGGTGAGCTCTTTCTCATCGTATCGTTTGATGTCCGGACGTAGAGGTTTCTTTTCTACTACCTTCCATTTGTCCCTGACTGAGTAGATCGCTTCGTTCAACATGATCTCACAAGTCTCTTCATCAAAGGATACTTTTGCACCTCCTTCTCTTGCCTTGGCGGATGCAGCAATCCCTTCATCATCGGATTCGTCCATGAAGAGTTCACCGTCAATGGCTGGGGCTCCAGGCTTCGCCTTAGGCTTCGGTTTGGGTTTTGCCTTGGGCTTTGGCCTATCGTCTCCTGAGTCAGCTGGTGCAGATATCCCTTTCTTAGGAGAGGCTTTTGGGTCATGGTAGAACTTGCAATCCTTCCCTTTGTCACAAGTTCCTCGAATCCACATCCAACATACTGGCTTGTCATTCTTTCCGACAGAAGATCCTCTGGATGGTGATCTGGGTTTCTTGTGACTGAATGGGCAATCTTTCCCCATAGTGCAATTACCTTTCACGAAGAATTTGCACGGTATCTTCTTCTTGTCTGTACTCGGACTTCGGCTGCGATCCTTTCCATCACCTTTACCTTTCCCCTTTCCCTTTTTGTTCTTGTCTTCAGGATGCTTCTTGGGATTGGGTTTCGGCTTCACTGCAGCAGCGTCTTCTGAGACAACCTGTTCTTGTTGCCCTTTTGGTTTCTTCTTCGGATCAGCTGGTGCAGCTTTCAGTTTTGGAGCAGGTCCGCCTGGTTTGAGATTCTGAAAGATATTGGCCACATTCTTCACTGCCTTCTCCTTTTCCAGGATCATCCTGTCTTCAGTTTGCCGTTCGATGTGCCTTCTGATCATATCACGTAGATGTTTGTATGTCTTCTTGGCATCATCGTCGTTCATGCTGTTGTAGGCGCTGATGTCGTATGCCATGAGGTTTGAGTTCCTGATCTTTCTCCATAGGAGATCCCGAAGAGTTTCGTCGCTCGGGACGTCAACGGGCTTCATTCCTGCCAGAATCTCATCCCAAGTGTGGAAGAACAACGATAAGTTCTTGTCTCCTTGATATTCTAGTTGGTAGAGGTGCATTGAAGTATATAAGACTTCCACATTTGATGTTGTCTTGAAATTCATAAGGATCAGGGCTAGGACCTCTCTTCCCTTTATGAGGCTTGATGTTCTCCCTTTTGCATTGATCCTCGTCCTCAACTTCATAGCTACACCTGAACCATCATCTTTCGCATCCATGACGACCTTGGTAAGAGCTAGGCCGAGTTTGGCATCGATTGAATGGAATCTTTGGTCTCCTGAGTCGACAAACTTGTCCGGATCAGGATCGTCCATGGCTTCTTTGATCCAGTCGATCCAGGGCTCTTGATCTGAATCATTGGCCGCAATGATGATCGATTGAATGAGATTTGCCTTCCATAGTCCAAGATCATTGATCCTGGGCCATGACGGAACGTTTATCTTTGATTCTTCCTTCCTCGATACTTTCATGATTGTAGAGGTTGCCGGTGCAAGATGAGATGAAGAGGATGCTTCTGCTTCTGAAATCTTGTCCCTCAATGATTTGTTTGCCTCGGATAGCTCAATTGATTTCTCCCTTTCCTCGGCGTACTCATTGTGGGTTTCTGCATACCATTCATACATCTCATCTCGGCTCTCTGTCATTTCATTGTACCCGTCCTTGTAGTGCTTCGCCTCCTCTTTTGCGTTCCGAATCCCATCTTCCTCGGACGCGTGGGTTGGTAACCCGCGGTCTCTGGAACTAGGACGCTTGCTGTACCGAGAGACTATGGGTGCCATTCGTGCTTCTGCTTTTAATTTCGCATTTTCCATAATGACATTCTTTGTCTCCTTCTGGCTTTCCAATAGTGCATTCTCCAGTTCTCTGATCTTCTGTTGAATTTCAGCACCATCATCGCCGAACATAGGAGCTCTCATCATATTCTCTCTTTTCAGCTGTGCGTTGGCTTCGGATAGAGCGAGGTTGACGTCTTTCAATTGTTGTCGTTCACGGATGGAACTTTCTAGGACTTCGTTGTTGAATATTTCCCCTTTTGCGATAACCTCCTTTGCGACGTTTGCTTCGTATTCATGGTGGCTCGCCTTCATTTCTGCCATTTCTTTAGCAGAGACTTCAGTCTGGCATACAAACATCTCCATCCTCATGCCCACTTCCATCTCTCCTATCTCCGCTCTCGCGTTGAGTTCAGCTCCACGTGCCATAGCTAGTTGACCTCGTAGATGATCAATAACCATAGCTTCCTGATTGCTCTGATCTTGAGATGAGTGAACACTGTGTTGAAGACGTCTTTCCCTGACCTCACTGTTCCATTGTTCTTCTCTCTGGTGTTGGATCACCTCGTGCATGTTGACATTCTCATCCTGTAGCGCAATCATTCTAGCTTGTATCTGGTCAGCTATTCCGACGAAGGCTATGTTCTCATCCTGAATGGCTTTTGATCTTCTATTGATCGCCAATGAAGATTCATTCTGTTCTTGGATGTGTCCAATTGCTGCTTGAAGCTCTTGGGACATTCTGTCCTTCGTTGCTTTCACAGATTCAAGCTCTGAATGTTCTTGATGAGTTTCTTGTGCAAGCTCTTGATATCTCATGTAGATATGTTCAGCTGTCGATTCCGCCAAGCGTAGCTTGTGTTCGAGCTCTTCAATTCTTATTGTCGCTCCTTCATCTTCCTGTGTCATCTCTTGTAGATGTTCCTGCATCTTCCTGTTGTAGTCAGACATTTGCCTGAACTCCACTTCAGCCTCGTGGTGTAGTCGTGAGTATCCGGCTTGGATGCATTCATATTCTTCATGAAGAAAATTGTATGCGTTTCTCGCCGATCTCAATTCTTCACCCAGCTGAATCTCTCTTCTTTGCTCTTTTGTTCCTCTATCATCGTCACGTCTCTTCTCTATACTCCTTCTTGGGGATCTCGCGGTAGACGTTATAGGCGATGTAGATCTTGTTGTAGCTCTCATCGATCTTCTTGGTCCTACGGGTGCAAGATCGGTCAGATTCCGAGCCGGTGGCACGGATCTTTCCGAGATTTGTGATCCAGTAGGCATAGTGATAACGTCAGCATTTGCTGATGAATCAGTACCCATTGTAGAGTCTGGTGACGAAATGGTGTTGGGACCACCAGGAGCAGCGAATGAATAGGGTTCGCTTCCATTTCCTCCTGAGCTTGACATTGCAGGTTTCTGTAATGACTAGTCTTGTTCTTGGTCTCGTGTAGCTCGTACGGCTATAAAGAGCGCGTACGGCTGATAACCTGCGAGTGGATCTTAATCAGCGAAGTTTGAAGCTATCACTGACGGTCCATAAGCGGCGTAGCGTCGGAACGGAAACCGCACCTTTTCTAGTCGCTTGATCCTTGAGCCTTGAGCCAAAGTGCATATGGTACATATATATGTACAAGTTGCACTGTACGTGTCGCTGCACTTCCATTCGCATATATATATATATTTAGAGATAGGCTGGCTAATGCTACAATAGCTTTCGTGACCTGTTTTGACTTGTGTTGATCTATATATATGGTGGTTGTCCAATATTCTTGTTTATTGAAACGGCCATTCTTCGCGAAAAAAACATTAACATTCGCGAAACTTTCGCGAACCCTGTGTTTTTCTTTCGCGGGGGTTCACCATGTCATGAAACCATTTAACCTGGTAGGGACTCGATTTCTAAATACAGTTTGTGGGGTTGCTATGGGCTACGGGGTTCCTCTGGAGCCGATTCATTCGCCGAAACCTTCGCCAGACTTTCGCGAAACTTTCGCGAAATAATCCCTGTGCTTTGGAGGTTTTTACGGCATACATAACATAGGGTGGACTACATGAAACAGGAAGGAAGCTTCACACGGATTCCAAAGTTGAAGCTGCTGACGGTCAGAAAAGGATGTTGTTATGCATGGGGCAAGCCTGAAGGCTCACCAAAGAACATACAATAAAAATTCATACTTTCGCGAATCTTTCGCGAAAAAACATTAACATTCGCGAACTCGAAAAAATACTTTCGCGAGACCCACGATCATGTCATCCAAGGCTCTCGACATTAAAACCCCTTACAAGGACCTTTTGGATAACTCCCATATATAATACAATGATCTACATTCATGGCTAATCAATCATCCAATCTGTGCTTAATCATCTGTAGAAACAGTCATGCGAGGTGATCTGTTGGTGTGTCTCTGTCTGTGAGGATTTGTAGAGGCCGGTCAGAAAACGTGGAATGGGAACTTGGTGAAACTTGAGTCCAACTTTGAACAGTTTGATGCAACTGGATTCTAGATTCTAGTTTTTATGGACCCCTGACATACAGCTCTTTCAACTCAAGTTGCGGAGGAGCGGAAAAAGTTCGCTCTTTCCATGGGGTATCGGTTATCAATGGAAGACAAGTGAACAGTGAACAGTGGAGCTGGGCCCCCCCGGGACACCATTTTCTTGAATACATCAATGCTTTGCAAGCGCTTTCTCAAACAGAGTAGGAATTATCACCTCCTGCTACATTGCAAGTGATAGCAACAACTTCGGCCGACCTCCTTCTGAGTCCACTTTGTTAACAGGCAATACTCTTCCAAGATGAAAGTCATAACGCTGCCAAAGTACCTTCGGTATTCTTGATGGATAAACATTGATGCCCTGGTCGAGTCGTTGTGGTTGATGTTGTAGTGGTCGTTGTAGTTGTGGTTGATGTGATTGTACTTGTGCTTGTTGTCGTGGTACTGGTGGTAGTGGTGGTTGAGGTGCTGGTGGTACTTGTTGACGTCGTCGTTGAGGTGGTTGTGGTAGATGTTGCGGTAGTTGTGCTTGTACTTGTGGACGTAGTAGATGTTGAAGTGGTTGTAGGTGTTGTGGTAAAAGTCGAAGTCGTGGTAGTGGTTGTCGTGCTTGTGGATGTGGAAGTAGTTGTGGTAGTACTTGTAAACGTTGAAGTGGTCGTAGTTGTGCTAGTAGATGTAGATGTAGTGGTAGTAGTTGTTGTGGAAGTGCTCGTCGTGGTTGTAGTTGTACTTGTGGTAGTTGTTGTACTGGTGGTTGTTGTAGTGGTAAATGTGCTGGTGGTTGTAGTCGTTGTTGTTGATGTGGTCGTTGTGGTGGTGCTCGTGGTTGTCGATGTTGAAGTTGACGTAGACGTGGTAGTTGTTGTGGTCGTAAGCGTTGTTGTGCTTGTGCTGGTAGTGGTAGTTGTGGTTGTGGTTGTAGTTGTGGTGCTGGTGGTGGTCGTACTGGTTGTGGTGCTTGTAGTAGTGGTTGATGTGGTAGTTGTGGTAGTTGTTGTCGTCGTGATAGTGCTGGTAGTTGTAGTCGTAGTTGTTGTTGTGCTTGTAGTTGTTGTGGTAGTGGATGTGGTAGTGGTTGTTGAAGTCGTGGTAGTAGTTGAGGTACTTGTAGTCGTGCTAGTTGTTGTGCTTGTGGTGGTTGTTGAAGTGGTAGTTGTCGTCGTCGTTGAAGTGGTTGTTGTTGTGGTGGTCATTGTAGTCGTGGTGGTGGTCGTTGATGTCGTTGTGGAAGTTGTAGTGCTTGTTGTGGTGGTCGAAGTAATTGTACTTGTAGTCGTTGTTGTGGTTGTCTCTGTGCTCGTGGTGGTTGTTGTCACAGTTGTGGTCGAGGTGACTGTGGATGTACTTGTGGTGCTTGTGGAAGTTGTGGTTGTGGTGGTGGTCGTTGTCGTCGTTGTAGTTGTGGTTGTGACGGTAGTGGTGGTAGTGGTAGTGGTTGTGAAAGTGGTAGTGGTGGTGGTTGTGCTTGTCACGGTTGTTGTGGTTGTTGTGGTAGTCGTGCTGGTGCTGGTGGAAGTGCTTGTGCTAGTGATGGTTGACGTTGTGGTAATGGTGGTGGTCGATGTTGTCGTCTGGGTGGACGTCGTGGTGACAGTGCTCGTGGATGTGCTTGTGGACGTTGTTGTAGTTGTCGATGTTGACGTGGATGTGCTTGTGGTTGTAGAAGTCGTGGTTGTTGTGCTAGTAGTTGTGGTTGTGACAGTTTCTGTTGTTGTAGTAGTAACAGTACTAGTGCTGGTTATGGTGGATGTAATTGTACTGGTAGTGGTTGTGGTGGTGGTGCTTGTCACGGTTGTGGTCGTTGTCGACGTGGTGGTGGTGGTGCTCGTAGTGGTAGTTGTATCTGTGGTGGTGGAGGTTGAGGTAGTGGTAGACGTGGCTGTTGTCGTGCTCGTTGTTGTCACTGTCGTTGTCGTAGTGAATGTTATGGTGCTGGTTGTGGTCGTTGTGGTTGTTGTTGTGCTGCTCGTTGACGTGGTGGTGGTCACGCCACAGCCTTCAATCACATAGGGTTGATTTGGCATGCTGCACTTCTTCACCGTGGCTGTGCCAGAAGCCTTTGTTGGATTGCACCGAACCAAGACTTCAAAGGATCTGCGCTCCAAGCTGACCACAGTGAGATCGAAAGCTTCCAAAAGCGAATCATCTGGGCTGGTGCAAACCTCTGCATGGCATCCCTTCAAAATATATGGATCGGTGTCTGTTCGACATTTTTCGACAACTGCCGTTCCTGCACAATCTGGTGCACAAATTGCAGAGACGGCAAACTTGTCTTTCGACAAATCTCTTTCCATCACAATGTACTCGGACTTGTCTCTTGGACTCGTGCACACCTCACAGGCGAAGGAAGACCATGTGGTCGGTAATGAAAGAATGCATTCTCAGATAATATTGAGCACAAATGATTATGTTTTTCTGTTCGGACACCTGCAAAGGTTGGAGGCTCTCAAAATCTAAGAGGCGGACACCCTCAAAGATCTCCTACAGAAAGAAAGAGTGAGAAAGGGGGAGATGGGTGACGCTCGAACTCATTTCCTGTAGATACTCCATTGACAAAGGCATAACTATAACGCAATCCTCTGCCCCCTCAGGCAGCGTGACTTTTGCAGGGATGCTTTGCACGCCGTTCGAGAAGTCTCCGTTGAGGGACACTCCCTCAGGGCAATGTAAAAAATGTAGCCAAAAAAGCGAGGCGTATGTGCGCGCACGTGTTCGAGTTCCCAGCAATCTTGTACCAAAAATTGTGCTTTGAGTTGCCAAGGAAGGCCAGTGCCAGCCACTGTGTCACTTGCCTGGAGAGTTCACTAGCCTCTAGATCCTCTAGGCTGCAGTCAATGCTTTCCATTAATTAATTGATGTCGTACTATTTTGTTCAACGCCTACGCCACTTCTGGCGATGCCTTTGGTGGCCGTTGGCCCTAAACTTGACTGTGTGATTGAAATACCATGTCATACTTGACCACTTTATTGATTCATTGCTGACAATCTGTCGTTTCTATGGAAGTGCTTGCACCTTTCATTCCGCCACCCGGGCTTGCAGGCAATTGAATTGATTTGGTTGAAGTATGTTGAAATTATCCTGTCAAAATATATTTGGGCTCAAGGCATGTGCCCCGCCTGCCAGCCAGTTCTGGGCTATTGTGTCCTGGCAATGCTTGAAGTTGCAAATGTGATTGGGAGTTAGACCCAAAAATGGCAATATTGTCAGCAAGTGGCCTTTTTAAATACCGCCCCCAAACAACTCGGAGGCCTGAAATATCCACTGCTGAGGAAATCTGGATCTGGAAGTTCAATGCCGAACCTGAAGTCATAAGGGGAAATACAACCTTCAGTCTGAAAGGCTCAATCATTGCACCCACAGACTCCCTAAGCCTTTCGATTGGTGCTTTTTCCCCACACGACACATCCAGGGCAAGCAATTGAAGCCATCTTGATATTGAACTACATTATCATTATTGGCTACGTCGTGCTACATACAGAATCTGAGGTCCGAAGAAGGAACAGTCAAAAAGCACCTTGCCTAAATCACGAGCGGGCATAATCATCAGCAGATCGTATTCCTTGTCAGAAACTTTCCAGCCTTCGTGCCAGGACTCCATCCAGTGTTGAAGGGAGGCTGCAGAATCAAACCTACTGGTTCCAACTCTTGCATATTGAATAGTTGCTAATGGTTGTGAGGTCTGGACTGAATTTCTGGCCCAACTTCATGTTGCCACTGCATGCTCGTTCGGGTCCGGTCTCCTGTGTTTGCGACAAAGCTGCGACAAAACCGTCTCTGCCCTGCTGGATGGATCCAACCATGCCCTATGCCATGTCCTTGCTTAAGACCTCCTCCTCTGTTGTGCAGTTGTTGGAACTTGCACCTGAATTGAACAGAATCTACTGAAATCGACTCACTCTATTCTCCACGTTCCATTCAGAATGGCTTCCAGAAGACTCTTCATGTCGCTTGTGCTTTGAAGCCATTGGCCCATTGGTACTTTCCAAGATCTTACAAAACTCCACGAATTGACCTCGGATTGAAGGCCAAGATACAGTTTACACAGTGGCCAGCTGGATCAAGGACACGAATGGTGCCAACTTCTGCTATGGTTGTGGAAGGATTCACAAAACCTTTGGCCTCCGCAGCTTAAAATCTGACACAAAGCAAGTGACAAAGCATGTGATTACGATTGAAATATATTGAAATCAATTGAAAGAAAAACCAAGCAGCAAAAAGGAAGGCAAAGCCCCTATAAAGGAGGGCTTACCTTCTTGTCTTCAACACTTGTGTATATACACATATTGTTTTTCCCTTTTGAGTCCTTTTGCATTTTTCTTTGAAGCACGTCGGTTCTTAGCACTTCAGGGTCGCTACGCCTTGAGCTTCAAACGAAACTCAGCTGGCGATGCATTCTCCTGTGCGCCAAAAGCCGCATTGTGTTTTTGTCGTCTGGTCGCATGGCTGTTGATGACAATTGGAGATCAAGGGAGCTTTAGCCCTGCACACATCAACAAGGGAGCTTCTACTTAAAGGAAGCGTCTGCCTGTGCCTCAAGATCGCTGCGACTCCGCGTGAGCTTGCGCCCATAAAGTAGCGTGGGCAGCAGCAGCAGCAGAACTACATTGCAACATCGCATACCTGTGACACTCCGAGAGATGGACAGGCACAGCTCGGTGGGAAGCAACGAGAAAAGAAGAACCTCTCAAAACCACAAAGTTGTGGCAGTAACCGGTGTGTTGCACCAAACATGCTCTGACTAATCTTGCTATAGTATGCTATGGTTGATTTGATAACAAATGTTTAGAACAGTTGAATGCGCCAAGTTGGTACGACAAAAAGGGACGTCAAGCAAGTGATTGCCTTAAGAGCTCTGCCCGAGAGAAACATCACACAATCCTAAAACGGTATCTGCATCTGTGTGAAACAATGTTGATCAAACACAGGCTCAAAATGCCTCAAATGGAATCAGGGAGAGCAGGTCCGACGCTTCTAAGATCTTCTAAGGTGCTACGATGTTCTATGTCCCACAAAGGAACGTCTGTTCACCTTCCCGTGACCGTGCGCCAGATTCAAACAGTTCGTGCCTCCGGGCCGTGCCCCTAGCGGCAGGCAGCCCGCTGCAAGCCAACACACCACATCAAAGTCCCACTTCCCCTAATAGCCTAATAGCATGCTACATATGCAAGCCGTTTCAGTCGTCACTCTTTCAGCAACCCCTCACACCCCACTTCAACTGTGAAGCCGCCCAGGACCTTTTCTCAGCCAATACCAAAGTACAGGCGCTCATTGGCTGCAACGTCCTGCAAAAATGCAGGATGGCGTAGCTGGATCAGGCTGCAACGAGACTCGCAACACGGTTCTGTGCACAAGAGCAGTGACCGCCAAGGTTCTCGCTGTCTATGAAACAAAAGAATACACACTTGATCCTCCAACCTATATAATAGCGATGACCTCCACCCTAATAGCAAAAGGAACCTACTCTAGCGATGGCCTCCAACCTGGCCAGCTCTAAGCCTCAACTTTGATGCTCTGGCCATGCAACCCCCCTCGAATTCCAACCAATGCAGACATGGTAAGATGAAGGTCTTCTTCATCAAACCCGTCGTGTTCAGGATCTGAATCAACCAAACGAAATAGTCTCTCCAAGGTTTCTCTCGAAACGCTGTAGCCCCACTCAGACAAAGCACTTTGGACTTCGCTGCAGCTCAGCTTTCCATCATTGTTTTTGTCAATGCAGCGGAAGGCTTCGCCGTATCTCTCCTGCCATGTGCCAAAACTCATCCACTTGAGACTACCAGCTCCATTTTGCAAAAGGTTGGTCAATGCCTTGCGCGTTGGCCTTTTGCCAGAATCGCAGCACAAGGACAGAAAGGATTGAAATGCCTCTTCCACACCTGGTATTTCACAATGTGAGGCGAAGTCCCCCAAGGTGACGCTCCCAGTCGCACAATTTCTCACCTTTACAAGCCGCTCTTCACCCAAAGGCAAGGCCAAGGACTTCAGTCGTGAATAGGATGTTTCCTCTGTTGGTGTCGCGTTGTAGTAGGTCTTTATCCAATGGGTGTCTCCGTCGCTATGCAACTCAAAGACCAAGAAGGCTCCAAAGCCTATCATTGGCAGCTCAAGACCAAGGTGGGTTGCTAATGCAGCCAAAGTGGTGTCCTTGATAAGGAGCGCTGCAAAGCACATTGGACACATTGTGCAAGGTGTGTAGTGTATCAACAAAAACAAAAAATATACAGTATATATAACATATTATAACATGGTATACACTCCCTGGAACTAATATGCAAGTGCAAAAGACACCTTTAGAAGACCAATTTCCTCTACAAACAGGTGGTTTTCCACTTCCATGTTAATTCCAGGGAGAGCAACTATATTGTACAACCATGCAATGACTGGCCTACTCCAGTTTCAAAGCTAGATTGACCTCTTGAAGTGCAACCCCATTTCACAGAGAAGCAAAACACATGGGTGGACCTTTTCATCCTTCTTGACTGGTTCAACCACAATTTATGCTTGCCTGTTCTTCGTTGTATCAGGCAGTCAGATGACCTCAAATACTATGGCAAGTACTTGGCAATAGTACGCTTGTGCAGCCGGTCGCAGCCGAGCTTCGTGACATGACATTTGGACAAATCTCAGGTGTGATTTTCCTTCTGCTCGTTGCTGCATGTGTCGCCAGATTTTGTGCGCCAAATATCCAGCTCCTTTCTTTCCATAGGAGTCGCATCTGAGGCCTGATGCCTTGGCACAAAAACTTCAAAGAGACCCCAAGTCAGAAGCACTGGGTATAGCTCACATCTAACAGGGCTACAGCAGGCTTTAGCATGCTTTAGCTACTGCATGATGAACACCACAGCATTACACGTTCTTCCTTTCGACGAGCTGCTGCACCATACCATCGCCTTTTGACTTCATTGCCTATCTCCTGAAGCAACTGGCGTTCATGAGTGTTCAAGGAAATCCCCTCTTCATTGACGAGCACTGGGCGATTGTGAGCTTCTTCAATGGCCACCTGTGTGTCCAGATCCTTTGCCGCAATGAGTCTATCCATCATACTTTGTGATGGACAAAGCCGTTCATCTTTGCTACACTTGAAGAGCTTGTCAAGGAGTTTATGATACTCTCTGTCGCAAGACATGTCTTGAAGAAATCTTGAGCGCCTCAGGTTTTGCATCCTCCATTCTTCATATTTATCATCCAGGCGCCACTCATGAAAAAGCCTGTCATCTGAACCCACAGCGTCTTCGATATAAATCGGGACTCCCGCGGCGCGTCGGGCTGAATCAGAAAAGACTCTCTCCGATCGAAAGGCAAAGAACACGGCAGCAAAGGGCACGAAGCCGAGCAAAAAGGCCCAAGCACTTTGCAATGTACGCTGAATGTTCGAGGTGTAAACAGCTAGGCTAGTGCCATCGATCTTCTGCACGCCACCAAACAAGTATGCCTTATCATCCAAATAACGATTGCGAAGGACACTTCCAATGTCCTCGAGCAGTCTGGAAGCGGCAAACTAAAGAACTGGAGAATGTATGTATCAATCTACAGGTCATTGACTCTAAACAGCAACAGCAACCGCTACAAGCATTTTCGTGTCTATGGTGCTCTTTTTACAAAGCCTTGCTTACTAGTCATAACGGTAACGGGAATGTAGTTGAAATATGTTGAAATAGTAATAAATAAACAAAAAACATGTGGCCTCACTAAATTACTGTTGCGGCAACGGGAATCGTGACTGTCACTTGAAATCTACTATGGTTATGATGTGCCTTACAGCCTAACTCTGAAATCTCAAGGATTCATAAAAAGGCAAAATAAATGCAAACCACACTCAGAAATGATAACAAGGAAATGCAAAAAAAAGCATGAAGAAGGCGAGAAAAAAGCAGCTTGTCAAAAATAGTGCATACAAAAAAGCACAAAATTTGCAAAGGGAACCCAAAAAAGGCAAACAAAACGCAAAACAACAGTTTAAACACACGCAAAACAAAAGCGAACAAAACGCACAAAAAATGCACATGCACAACCACATTTCACACACAACCTTGTTTTTTTGTGTTTTTTTTCCATGGTTGTGCATTTTATGTGCGATATTTGTGCGTTTTGTTTGTTTATTTTGTGGTGATTGTTGCTGCGTTTTCTCAAGGAAACGCACAAAGAATGAAAAACAATCGCAAAAAAAAGCAAACAAATGCAAAGGCAAAGACCAGAACGTCTTTGATCGCATTTGTTTGCTTTTTGTTTGCTTTTTTGTTTTTCTTTGTGCATGTGTGTTGCATTGTTTGTGTTTTTTTTTCATTTGTTTAGTGGACAAATGTTTTTTTCCGCCTTTTATTTGCATTTTTTGTGCATTCCAACGCTTCCCTTGTGACTTGTTTTTGCGTTTTCTGTGCATTTCTTTCAGCATTGGTTTTGCATTTTGTTTGGCCTTTTTATTCTTTTTGTTGTGTCATCAGAACTAGCTTTAATGTACATCATAATACTATGGCTTGATTTCCATCTCCGAGCATGAGTTCGGCGGCTGTGATTGATTGCAGGGACTAATGCAGTGGCAAACTAAATGGTGTAAGAAAAGTTATCTCAGAACAAGATTGACAGTATACTATAGACCAGCGTATAAACAGTCGAGAAGAGCGGGTAATCATGCAATTCAGTGGACATGTCACTGTCTATGTACACAAGCACAACTGCAACATCTGCCAAAGGACAAATGGCATCATTGGCTACAGCCACCAGTCTGACTGGTAGCTGCAAGTACTGTCAACACAAATAACACGCACTAGTCATGACAGTAGCTGCAGAATATTTTCATCATGGAATTCAGTTGTGTTTCTGGATAACGTGTGATTGGCACAAACTCAAATATATAATTGAAGTTTATCATCAACGGCGAGGCGTGTCTGGGATAGATTTGGTCTTGTTGGTATCTATTCACTGTCTTTGATGTTGCGTCCATCGCTGCATTCGCTGGCGTGTAACAGTCATGCGGCTGCGTCAAAATGACTGAAGAGTTGTTGCTGGTGGTCGTGAAGCTTTTGCTTTACATCTGCCAGAATCTGTCATGTCACTTCAGCAATGTACCTGTTTGTTGTGCTTGTCCGCTTCGGTTTCCATCCTGCAGCCATAACTCCGTGCACTTTGGGGAACCAACTGACCAACCAACAAGCACTGCACTTGCGAAGAAACATTTGTCCTGCAGTTGCGAAGAGCCCACAGGAGTGAGGTGCCCTTTATAGCTTTCCCAAAACTGCGTTCGGATGGGCCAAGCAATGTCGGCTTTTCCGGTGGGCTTTGTCGGAAAGCGGGCACCATGTCGGTGCACCAAAACAACTTGCCGGAGGGAGGAAGCATCTTCAGCGCTCAAAGGCCAGGTGGAAGCTCTGCTGCTACATGGGTCGATGCTCACAAGCAAAACACCGACACTCGCAACATCCCATCTGCGACCAGGCCCGCGTCTCCCTTTCATCCCAAATTGGCTGCATACCGTGTGTAAGATTCAGAACCATGTTAGCAAATCCTGACATCATGACTTCAATTCAGTAGCATGCTTGTTCATTCTTCAAGACTGCTCCAGGGGTTAGTCTAGCTTTAGAGTCTTTAGCAAACACCAAGCTTTTGAGTACGAATTGACACGCCTCACAGAGCTCTCTTTTTTGATGTTTGGCAAAGCGTTAGCTCAGCCTCTTCCTCACCGGAATGCATTTCTCAGCTGGGTGAGCAGTGAAACCTAAGAGATGTGGCAAAAGCCTGAGTCCTGTCCTCTTTTTGCGCTCTCTCTCTCCCTCTCTCGTGCGCTCTCATAAGGTTGGAGTTACAACCTCTTCGAGATCATCATCTGAGGTCCGAACGGTTCTCTTGGTGCATCCACTCAATGAATATTGCTTTGAAACCTCGCGGTTGAGAGTGGAGCAGCAACCTTCTGCTGCTTTTAAAGCAAGCCTGTTAAAAGGCTTAAGATGGTTCAAGGAGGGGAAGTGTGCCAAACAATTAAACCTGCCCTTGCGTATGTGCGCTTCAAGTTCACGCAAAGCCATTGCCGGACCAACCAAAAACTAGGACCAAGATATCTTTACTCAGCTGTCTCCTCCAAGATCCTAAGCTATTTTTCGGAGCCTAGCAAGCGCTTGCCCGCATGCACAGGAGCCTGAGGTGTAGCTCCAGTACAAACAGCCACCTTCGCTGTGCCT